AACTATTTGTAGTTTAGGTTGTTACAATGGTTAATGAGTTTCATATCCTTAATTTTTGCAGGATTTGATTTGAATTCTTTACAAAAAGCTTGCTGTGGACGTGGAGGAATTTACAACTTTAATCTAAGGAAGATGTGTGGTTTTCCAGGAGTTTCTATCTGTCCCAATCCACGCAGATACATGAGTTGGGACGGGATTCATCTGACTCAACATGCATATAAATTAATGGCGGGATGGTTGATTCGTAGCTTCTTACCGAAGTTGACAAAAACCATGTTCGAAGGCCATCAAATTGTTAATTTTAGTACAGATTAATGTTCCAGTTTTCTGGTCTTTAGTTCTATGATGTTTCACTTTTTAGAAATTATAGTTTGATAGGCTTCTTGATTGTATTGAACTTATTTCAAGTTTTATTTTAATATATAGTTTGGTTAATTGTTATTGCATTGAACAATATTGAAAGAAAATAAAAAGTTGACTATTGTACTATTCTTCAATTAAATACGCTTAAAAATGAAATATATGCCTGTTCAGTAGTGACATAATTTTCAGAGTTGAAATTTGTTTGACCTCACCAAAATTTATCCTAAACCCAACTTGAGGGCTAATGTTAAAATTTTTGGTATCTTTCGAACTTCGTTTGGATTGTACAGTTGTAATTAACTACTAGTTGTACTTTAAACGAGAGTATGTGAAGGGTTATAGTTTGTTATCTTATGGATTGAAAACAAATCATAGCAAATCTCTCGTAAAAAATACGAGGAATATAGAAATATTAATATGAGCAATATGGACTATAATCATATTAATCCTCCACTTAAGGACCCTTTTGCTACTAGAAAAACTCATCTACTATTTTACTCTCAATGTACTTCTTTTGAATTCTTGGAACTGACTGAGACATCGAAGGGGTTCTTGAAGAATATCACATGATCTTAGTTTTGGATACGAGCCCACAGGAAAGAAAGCAACAAAGAGAGATGGTAAATCTAAGTCAGACTATAGAAACCTTTCATTCATATCGTATTCAAACTTTTAAGAAAGAAAACTTTCCATCACAAAACTTATCTATTGATGTATTTGTATACATAAGCGCCTAAGCACTAAATTATTATTATTTGCTGATGCACTTGATCTAAGCTTAGTTGTGCCATACTAATTAATTTTCACTCCCATGGGAAAACGCATAGAAGTAAATAAATAGAGTCAATCAACAAGTGAAAAAGAACCTGTGGTGTGCCCAAATACGAGGGAACAAGGGTCAAAATATCTAGTTCTTGTTCTAGTAAAAGTCGATCAATCTACAGAAGAACCAAATTGCGTTAAATGAGAACCTCGAATTGTGTGCTCGTTGCGTGTAAAGAAAACAGATGTTAGAAAATAGACTCCAAACTTTAGCAAAACCGGGCTCAGTTTACCAACCAAATCAACATCCAATCGATTGAGCCAAAACCTTTCCACTATTCCTCTCTTCGGTTGCTTTCAATGTACCCACTTAGGACACAAAGGAAAGATGTTCTGCAGCCCCAAAGTAGAAGCCACAAAGGCTGGGAACAATGAGAAGATGAACAAGACAACTTACTAGCGAGAAGCACAAAGCACAAAGGAAAGTAGCTGTGTGTCTCTCTCAAGCAAAAGGGGTGCAAAACACTCTTTAAATGACAAAGTCGTGAAGAAAGGAAATATATATGATCATTTAGATTACAGTAATGGGCCAGCCCAACAAGAAGACAGTAAATGGGCCAAACAAGCTATCCACAAAGTGAGGGACCGGGCCATGAGCAACTCTAATTAATTAGACTGCTTTCAATGACCCCAAATAGTTTAGGGTTGGGTCATCAATCTTAGGTGTCGATACAATACTAATCCAACATCGGTTTTACATCATTGCTCGAATTTATTGGGTATCAAAAAACCCAACAAATCTCCACCTTTATTCCCAATAAATCTGCAAGCAAACAAAACACAGTTTACATTTGCACAGTTAAGGTAACCAATAAAATTGGTATCATAGACCTTACATATCATACCTGCTCCATATACTTACCAGGGCTAAAATCAATAAACACCCAAGTAGAAGCAGCAATTAATCAAGAGCAAATAAACATACGATGGAGATATCTTATATAGAATAACACATAGATCTTTTCAAAACATATTCACACAGAACCACATATTAACACCAAATTAATCAACAGGCTAACACACATGCAACAAATGCATAAATGACCCCATCAAAATATCTCACCCCATTTATCCTATCCTATTACGTGTTGCTCACACCTCGAGAACACATATCTCACCTCATCATCCACCAAGCTCACCAGATTAATTACTTAACCCCATGTCTAACTGGTAAGCCTTTATAGATTCTAAGTTCTCGGGATAATCCTCTATCACCACATCACTTTTCCCAACCTACGTGGATAATGGGTCTCCACCTAACAGAAGTGATAGAAGTGCCTCTCTCACACTAGACCTGATCAGGGTCTCTTCACAGATAAAATATTCCAACATTTGATCACCTCTTCACTCGTGATCCAAATGCCACACTCTACATCCCTGGTACAAACCATTAATGTACCTCTAGGCATCTATACTCCACTTTACCAAAAGACATACATACCACTGCTAATGCATTCCAAACCCATTATGCATGCAAATAATTACACCAGTAATAAGATTACTCTAATTCATGCCAATGTACATACATCAAACACATTGAAATGCAACATTTATTCATGCAACGGAATTGAGCAATCACACACATGCAGAAAGGATTACACACAGATACAAATGCAGTAACTAAGTTCACACTTAATAGGCTTCATTAGGGTCATCACTCGACCCTAATGCCAAATTCGTCTTGTCTCTCAACTTACCATTCTGCTTATCCTTGTTCTTCTTAGGACAGTTCCTAATAAAGTGTCCAGTCTTACCACAACTGTAACACTGTCTACCACTAGACTTGTCCAATCATTTGCCCTTCTTCTTACCATCCTCATCACTCAAGTCACTACTTGAATCACTAATGTCTTGAGCTCTACCCAAACTCATCTACTTAAACTTCATTCTACTCCTCATCATATGCAACTCACCACTTCTCTTATCTTCTTTTTCAGCCTTAATCTTAATCTCATTTCTCCTAAGGGAATCTATGACAATCTCGGGGGTTAAAGTATCTATAACAAACTTAATTTCATTCTTTAACAACTTCATTCTACTCCTCATCATATGCAACTCACCACTTCTCTTATCTTCTTTTTCAGCCTGAATCTCCATTTCCTTACTCTCAAGGGAATCTATGACAATCTCAGGTATTAGGGTGTCCCTACCATACTTAGTTGAATTATTAACTTCTCTATATGAATTAGGCATAGAATTCAGCAAAATGATGACCTTATAAGTTTCAAACACGTTCTTATCACAGTTAACGATAACTTGAACCAACTTGTTAAAAACATCCAAATTGTCATCAAGATCCTTTGAAGGATCCATTTTAAATCTAAAAAATCTTTCAAGCAAGTACAACTTAGTCGGAGTAGACTTAAGCAAATATAAGTCCTCCAACTTTTGCTAAAGTTTTTTAATAGAATCAAGTTTTTCAACTTTTCTCAAATCAGTGTCAGATATGTGTAATATAATTGAAGTATATGCAAGTTCATCATACTCTTCCTTTTGTACTTTTCTTAAATCTGCAGGAAATTTATCATCTATGGCCTTTGAAACTTTTTATTGAACCAAAATCTCCTGAAATAGTGACTGATTTCGGTACTGATTTCCTTCCTGAATCTATGACTAGAACGCTGTAAAACTTGGGAAATCGTTTTTCGATCGATGACCAGAAATTGAACCCATGGTTCTCTGATGGCACTTCTCTCTGGATGGTGATTTGCGTGGCATAGTTGGGCTGTTCCTGAGATTATTTTTCAGCCAAGAGAAAGGGAAGTAAAGCTCGATTTTGTACTCTTTAATTTCTATGTTTTTCTTTAGTTCTTGTGCTCTGAAATTTCCGATTAAACTTATTGTTGTATGTAATGGTTGATTACATCCTGCTTGAGGTTATTGAACTCCGTCGTTGTTGTTGATTGAGCTGTTGAATTCGGTTAGCCTTGAATTGGAGTCTATATTATGCTTTATTAATTCCTAACATCTGGTATCAAAGCTAGCTTTAGGTCTAAGGTTTCGTTTATCCTTTCCTGAATTGGGGTTTTCTGTTTTTGGGTCAGTGGTTGATCTGTATATACCTATTAAGATTTAAAATAGAAACCATCACTGTTTGTTTGGCATCTTGTTTTTGAATTCGACACTGATTCCTCTGTCTTGTTTGTATATGTGTTGGCTGGATTGGGTGATCATTGGCTCTAGCTGGCTTGCTCAATTGAGGAGCTGTTGGTATAGTCACTATTTTTCAACAGTCGGTTGGTAAGATTATTCCAAACTCGTCGATAGGTTAGGTTTGGTATTTTTACCATTTTATGCATGATTGCTTGGTTACTGAATTCTTGTGATTAATTTGTAACCTAAAAAGCATGCTTATCTGCATAATATACATGTACATTGCCTAATTTTGAATCACACTTGCACACACAT